TAAGTAGTATTTATTATTATATATATATATATATATATATATATAAAATGTAGTGTAAGACAAGAAGAAAGTCATGAAACTAGTTGGGAACAATTCTGCAATCTCCATCCAATAATTCTAAAACTTTTAAATTCACATGATTAGATTACCATTTTTATTCTCATTAGCTCTTGGTTTTTATAATTTGTAGGTAATTTATGGTCCGGTATGAATATAATCTCCTGCTCTAACAAGTTTACATTCTAGATATAGATTTTACATTTCCTTCTTATTCACATCTTGTGTTTTGGTTTTGGTTCACTGATATCCTTACAAGGCTGTGATGGCTACATTTCAGATTTCTAATACTTGAAATTCAAAGATCCAGAAAAATGATTTAGTATAGAACCAGCTTTGCATGGACTAGTTGTCTCAGGAAACACGTAATGGCATCAAGAGCTTTTCTCCTCTAGGCCACTGGCTCAAATTATTATTATTATTTAGTAGTAGTAGTATTTATTAAATGTATTACTGTAACACCTAGGAGCCCTATTCATGGACCAGCACCCCATTGTGTGAGGCGCTCTACAAATAGAACAAAACAACAGTCCTGCCCCAAAGAGCTTACAATGTAAGTATAAGACAAGATACAACTGATGGATACAGACAGACCAATAGGAGAGTACAAGAAAACAGTGAGACAATACTGGTCAGCATAATAGGCAGTGTAATCTCAGCACACCAGTGGCTCAACCCTTGTCATGTTTTTTGTAGTCATCATGGCAAAGGAGAGATTTGAAGGAGGATAATGAGGTAGCTTTGCAGATGTTTACGGGGAACTCCTCCCAACCATGACGGACAGTTTGACAGACAGCACGAAGGTGCTTGTTTGAAAATGTAAAGATGTGCGATGAAGGCTGGCGTCATGGATGATTGGAGGTGCGAGCTGACCTCTCGATAGTGGATGAGGGATGATAAAGTGAAGAGAAGTAGCTTATGTTTGGTGCTATAGAGAAAGGTGAGCCAGTGGAGGGATGCAAAGATGGGGGGGATGTGGACAAAGCGATAGGCTAGGGAAATGATCTTTACCGCAGCATTCTGAATGGATGTGAGTAAAGACTGCATTTGTCAGGGCCAGAGAAAAGAATATTGCCATAGTCAGGAGGCAAGAAGATGAGAGCCTGGATGAGAGTTAGCTGTGTGGATGGATAGGAAAGACCGTATCTTAGAGATGTTATGTAGAAAGAAACAGCAAGACTTAGACTTAGATTGGATGTGGGGACCTAGAGAGGTGATGACCAGGTTATAGGTTTGAGTGACAGGCAGGATGGTGATGTTTTCTATAGTTATCAAGAAAGGAGAAAAAAAGACATTGCCAGATGGACATCTGTTTGGTGACTTACAGTTTATGAAATGAGTTGATGGTCTCTGTGACTCCAGATCCCAAAGCAATCAACATGGCACCTTTCAAGAGCACTTTTAAAACGTATTTAAAATACATAGCAAGTCCTATCCAAAACCTTAGTTATGTAACATTTCTCTTGTTCATTAGCATTCTTTATTCACAGGATGCCAGGTGCTTCCTGTATGATTTAAAGACTGTCTCCAGCTGTGATTGGAAACGATTTAGCATTCAGCTACAGGATCAACTCTTCTAGCTCAAACCAGCAGATACACTATTACATTTAATCCGGACTTCCTAACAGATATTTAGGAGTTTTGACATTGACTTTAATAGGGCCAGGATTTCACCCATAGTATGTAGCAAACAGGAAACCCACTTCCAGCAGTTGTTTTATTAACAGTCTTTCTTTTAATAAGTGGGATTTTATTTGTGGTGGATGCACATAAAGTAGAGCATTTGGAATAATAAATAGACTTTTAAAAAGACAGTTCTGTTATTGGCTGGAGGCAGAGGTTAAACTCAATTACATCTCATCACATTTCCATAAAATAATTGAGCGTCTGTGTGAGTGCAATCCAAGAAACAAATGATGTGGACAGGTTCATCTGGCTAGCTTAATTGCCTCGTGCCATGGATTTTGTGAAGGGATTTGAGAACTCTGTCCTCCTTCTGGGTCAAGCCGTGTCTCGTTCCAGGAAAAATATACTGTATTCTGGTGTCAAGACTTGCCAGTACAATTTTAAATTTCACTTTCTCCAAGCTCTTGTGTGAATAAATCTCGAATGCTTGTGTGCAGACTTCAGGCTTTGACTATTTGAATATTCAGAGTTTGATTCTTCCCTGAAAAAAATATGGCATCATTGTGTTCAGTTTACAAGTAAACCAGACTCAGATGCGGTGGGATTTGTGTCTTTCTACTGCATGTGAGGTTGGGAGCAGGATCTGGGGGAATTTGGGCAGCAGACCCATGACCCCTGCAAGCTGTGAGACAGGGTTTGTCCACTTGTCAATAAGACATCAGTGTGACCTCTATATCACAAATGAGTCATATAGGATATTACATTAGTCACTGAGTCATCCAGCTGGTATCCAGAGTTCTCCAAGGAGCAATGACCCCAAATTAGTACCAATGGCACTTACAGTCCTGTGCTCAGAGTAGAAAAGGTGTAAGTTAAAGTTGCCTTGAACCTGAGCAAATTAGGCTGAGGCCTGCTTCTGCCCTAAACCCTGAAACTAACTACTGTCCACTATCCAGTAGATGTTTATATTAAGTGAGGTAAAGACCAATAAAACAATAAATTTTTTTAATCCTTTTTGAATCCTACTAAACTCTTGGCCTCAGTAACATATTGTGCCAATAAGTTCCACGAGTTAATTATGAATTATGTAAAAATATTTCCTTTTTTTCAGTTTAATATTGTTTGCCTTTCCATTTGATTGGGTGACTCCTTGGTCTAGTATGAGAGAGGGTAAATAGGAGCTCCCTATTTACCTTTATAATCTTATTTTGGGGTATTGTTTTTAGATCTAGTTTCTGCTATATTCTCAAAAGGATCATCACTGATTTCAAAATATATCCTTAAGGTCATGGCTCCTTATGTTGTTATGTAACATGCAATGTGTTACCTTCAAAAAGCAGTAAGAATGAATGTAGTTACCGAATTAAGTCTAGCAATGCATCTGCAGAGCTCATAATTGGCTTTCCACTCTCTTCAGTGCTCTCCTTCTGGGCTGCTCCACCAGGATGGATAATGGAGACCATAATTATTCCCACAATCACAGCCACAAATGTTGTCCATAGATAGTAAGTGACGGTTATGATGCCTAATCGACTGGAAGTCTTAGCATCCAAGGCTGCTAGTCCAGACATTAAGCTGTAGAAAAAACAAACACAAAAAAAACACACAAAACATATAGTATCTTTTGCATATAATTAATACAATGTAAAACCTCATTTCTTAATTATTCTAATTTATCTGTGTCCACCTGAGTGCCTATATAATGATGCTTCTGGAAGGAGCTTTTAGATCCAGATGTCCTAGATTCAGTCCCCATAGGTGACTGAACCTGGGACCTCTGGATCTAAAAGCATGTGCCTCTACTGCCCAAGCTAATAAAAACAGATCCTAGTAGCTTGAAAGAAGTAGCAGTTTCGCAAAACTCCATGCATGGTCTAGCAACTAGCAGGAGACAGCCACACTGTGCTAATGTGGGTTACATATGGTTCCCCTCACTGGGAAATCAAATCACTGCTGGGGGTGAGTGGCTAGATTGGTGGATACCTATGACTTCTTTGACTACCAAGACCACTAATTTATGCAGACATACCCATCTTCATTGAAATATTGACCCTAACCCTGGCCATAGGCTGCAGAGCTGAGGCTGCTACCTGGGTTGTTGCCCAACCACCTTTTGGCTCACCACAGCCCAGTTTGGGGCAGGCGATCCAGTGGGGTCAGGGCCAGGAAAGGAGTGGGCTGGTGCATCATAGTGGGGATGACCTTGCTGGCACATGAGAGCCAATGGGCTGGAACAGGGAGCCAGGCCAGCCCTGTGGGACAGGAACTGCTGCGGGGTGAATGCAGGGTGGGCTCGCTGTCCCACCCCCTCGGCTGTTCCTGGGTCACCATGAATTTCATCCCTTGCCTCATATTATAAACAGACATGCTTTCCTCTTCCTATTAGTTTTTTCCCCTTGATATGTTTGTAAAAATCCATTCTCATTCCCCTTGGCCCTTTTGGCTAGTACTACATTGTTCTACTGTTTTGCTGCTCTTCTTTCCTATAAGCTGTAACTGACACTGTGCATTCACCTTTGGGTGTTTCCACCTTTAAATCCATTAACGACTGTGAGTCACTCAGCTGCTATGGTAATGGACGTCATAAGTACCGATGATAGATACAGAGACTAACAACTTATGGTTAGTACTCAGAATGCTTAACTTATGGTTATTACTAATATGTGGTTAAATTACTGTTGCTGAGTGAATAAACTGACCACAGCAGTTTGTTACTTTATTAGTGAAAAAATAAACTAACAGGAGATATTCTGTTTAGCTATTCCAGTAATGTATCCCCTTATTCTCAGCCTCAAAGCTCCATGTATATTTTGGCACAAGTAAAATAAGTACATATTGACTGCTCTATGAATGTGAAGGGACCGATTTTCAAAATTGCCCATGGAAAAATTGTGTGCAATTGGCACTTAACTTGTACATGAATTTACTCTTCTTGCACGGGCAAATTGGATAGTTACATTAAAAAAGGTCAGTTATATGTTTAACAGGCTATTTGTGTGTGCAATGACAAATTTGCAGAAGCAACTACCGTAACCAAATGTGCAACCTAGGCATGTGATTGTGTCTGGCTTTTACATAAAAGCGTAAAGATTCAAGAGGGCTTTGCCACGAGCCCTGTGTCGGGGCAGTGTGTTGTTGTGCTTCCCCAAGAGTAGACCAGGAAGCAGATTGTGACTCCTGCTTCCCAGTTTCCTCCTGCTCTAGTGATGGGGTCACACATTGTACCAGCCCTCTGCTTGCTACAGTGACGTTGTGTAGCTGCACTGTCCCGCACATTGGGGAGTGAAGCCCATACCCACCCTGCCCATCCACCTATGTGGGAGGGGGGAGCAGAGGCTCTTCAAGCCCTCAAACATCACACAGCTGCCTTTGTAGTGCTTTACTGCTCCCTGATTTCCCTGCACAGGCACATAAGACAGGCCACCATGTAGCCCTAAATTTGTTCAGCACTGCTTTGAACTAGGCCCAGGATCATGAAGATTTATGTTCTCCCAAACTGTGTCACGATCTACTAATAAACCTGGAAACACCAATGTTTCACTTGGCTTTGCTCAATGTTTAATTTTTAAAACAATTTCTAGTTTATTTTAAATATAGAGCACAGTAAAAAAATAAAATAAAAGGAGCAGTACATGTTGTCAAGTTTTAGTGTGACCCTTTCATGCAGCTGTTATCACTATGGAGAGTTGCTTGTCAAATCCTTCATCACAAATAACTATTTATTAGCAGGATCACTTGCATCTGAAGAAGGGAGGTTCTTACCCACGAAAGCTTATGCTCCCAATACTTCTGTTAGTCTTAAAGGTGCCACAGGACCCTCTGTTGCTTTTTACAGATTCAGACTAACACGGCTACCCCTCTGATATTATTTATTAGCAGACAACTCCTGATATTTACAGAATCTCCTTCATCTTGCACTGTTTGGTGAAGTTGTCTAGAGCTGAAGTGCAGCTTAACCTTAATACTAGATTGAATGAAATAATAGTGGTGGGATTTAATGCTCAGGTTCCTGCTATCCAGTAGATTAATTAAGAAAATGCATTGTTTTTCTGCTTTGCCAATCTCCAGTCTGGCATGTTTTGTTATCGGTTCAGAGCAGTATTGGGGGGAGGAAGGGCGAGTATTGTTCTAAAACAAACAAAAAACTATTTTATAAAAGTGAAGTTAAATATTGCAAGTAATCTAACTTTCACAGGGTCGTTTTATGCAGAATAATTTTGATGTTAATTAGACTACTAGAATCAAATTCTGCTCTCCATTACATTCATACAATTATACTGTTTTTTGAGGTGTAATGGAGAGCAGAATTTGACCTTTCATTGTCAAATGGCCCCTGGAAGAAGATTGAAATGGCTTGATCAAGAAGATGCACATTTGTTCTAAAGCCGGGTTACAAATGTAGCAACTTTTTCAGTTTAACAGCCTTTGCAAACTGTTGCTGATTTTGTTCAAATGTATTTGTTATTCTTAAGAATTCACTGAGTTTGCTTGGACTATTTTCCATTTGTTATTCACATTATATGATTAATCAGCTGAGTCACATGATATTGATTCTGTGCAGTTACTGAAACAAAACTAATGAATAAATCATTTCCAAATAATTAAATAATAAATAATTTAAAAATTCATGGACCTCTTGAATTGTGAACATTTTTACAAATACCCTGCCATTGTCTGAATACCCATGAACAATTTGATCCTACAAACCTGAGTGAACTGAACTGTGTGCCTTTATTTGCAAAAATATGAACAAATCATTTTTGGAGGATCACCCTGTCTAGAGAAGATGGAGGAATTGCCTTTGTGCCCTAAATACAGGTTAACACCTTTTGAATCTAACACATAAATGTACTGACTCCTATCAAGCTACATCAATACAAGGAAAAACTCAAATGTCCCTGTAACATACAACCAGTTCTCTAGTTTCACACCAGTCACCATTTTTAATTATTGTTACTTACATTACAGTGCCACCCAAAGCCCTTAATCAGATTCGGGGGTCCTTTATGTTAGGTATTGGATAAACAGAGGGAGGCACTGATCCCATGGCTAGCAGATCTGTAACTAGAAAGATGTGTTCTCTGGTGTGGACAGGGCACTAGATGAAAATACTTTGGTTCTATTCCTGGCTCTGCCACTGACCAACTGTGTGACCTTGGGCAAGTCACTTCTCTGTGCTTCTGTTTCCTCTTGCCCTTTGTGTATCTTATCCATTTAGATTGTAAGCTCTTCTGGGCAGGGACTGTATTCTACTACACCGGACTGTCAGGGGTCTAGGCTGCAGCAGAGCCAATCTCCTGGCAAACTAATGAGTGCAGCTGGCCCTGATTGACCTGCGCCTGCCTGCTCCAGCCCCCAGCATCTTTCTGACTCTCAGCTGAGAACCTCAGCTCCACCTTCTAACGGTGACTCTGGTTAACCCTTCAGCTTAGGCTTCTTTTTTTGACTCTGGCTCTGATCCCCCGCTGTGCTTTTTAACCGTGACTTCAGTTAATCCAGTGGTCCCCAACCTTTTTCGTCTGGCGGGCGCCCGACGATGAGCCACGGAGGACCGTGGCAGCGGACGAGCATCTGCCGCCCCCACGGGGGCGGGCGTAGAGGCCCCCC